ACAAGAAGCTAGCAATAGATTTATCTGTGTTTTGTGACTCCTAAGTGACATAGAGTAAATATGTGCACTTACACATAGAGGGAAATAAGGTCAAAGGTTGCCATAGTTATCCTAAAATATTGAGTATCGTAATAATAATATCACAATTGGCCATTAATTCAGATCATTGCCAGGGGTATAGTTTGATGATGTCTCTCCCTTGGAGACACATATAGTATCAGACCACTATACAGGGAAATATGCACAGACTGCTTGGATTCCAAATGATTTACTTCCCTGAAGACACTGAATTAGATACAATTGTCCCAAACACCCCAGTGTAAAAAGAAATGCATTAAGTTCGAAAAGTTTTTTCCCCTGTGCACTAAGATATTGAGAAGAGCTGAGAATAGGTTCATACCTTGAATGATAGATCATACTGCTCACCACCCCAGATTTCCAATCCTGCATCGTATCCACCGATCTCATTAAAGTACAAACGATCTACTGCAAAGAGTCCACCAGCCATAATAGGTGTTCTGTTAATAAATCACAACACAATTGGGTATGCAAATGACAAAATATGCGATGAAGTTCTGAATACAAAATCATCAATTTTTGAATTTCGTCAATATTGGCTATCAGCTGGCTTTTTATATTAACATAAACATTCTGGAGTGAGTATCATTTGTATTAATAATGTCAACTTATTATTTGTAATATAAACTAGACATATTTGGGCGGACTACTCTGAAAATATATGGTGATTTTAAAACAAGATAAGCTAGCTTTATGCCATATAAATCATATTAGACACAACATATTTTAGTTAGCATCAATTGGCTAATGTGGCTAATGGGCAGCGCCAACACAGACAAGTATTCCATATTGTACAAAAATTGAGAAAATTCTCAATGTTTTTGTTAAACTCAATCAATCATAATTAATAGTGTAGATTTTTATATTTCTTTATTGAGCTATTATAAATAAATTCACATTGTGTGATTGTTTGGAAAAATAACATAGTTGAAATAAATTCACATGCTGAACTGTTTGAGTTACGGACATGGAGTTACGAAAACTTCAAGTTACAAAAATGACCACATACATATTTTAGAAACCAAGCCATTTTTTGCAAAACTATGTCGAAATTTTAACTTAATATTTAATTAACAGTTAAGAAACTTTGAGTTACGGGCAAGATAAATTTGTTTGCATGTGTAACATTCATATTTTGTAACTCAAACTTTAATTTGCAATTATCTGAAGTTACAGACAGCATAGATTGCATTGTTGTTTAACGATACTAACGCAAAGTCTTACCTAAATGGTTCAACGTCAAGTCAGCATATGCCATTGCTACATTAATGAAGTCTTACCTGAAAGGTTCAGCGGCATGTTTACGCCGTTTCAGTTCCTCTTCAGTCAGAGGTATTCGTTTATAAAACAGTTCCCAATCAAATGCTCCTCTCATAGCGTCACCTGCCTGTGTCTCATAATGATAGTCATTATTCCCAATCACGTCAATCATTGGACATGCTATACACTTGCGATTTAGGGCAATGCTCTCTAAAAAAATGAGACGTAATATTTTTGTAAATAATAGGAACAAAATACTGCCATAGAGGGTGGAACAAATTTAAAGTACCGTTCGGTATGGGTCCCACACGATATTACAACATGTGTGAAATCGATGTTTACACAAAATGCATTGATGTTTACACAAAATTTGAATGTTTAGGTGTTCAGTTGCACCTGGAACTAATGACTTGTTTATTGGAGGTGTGGCTAAACTAATGAGTACACAGTGTCTGTATATTGAACCCCCTCATAGTTTATTTACAAACCGATAACATGTCACACCTAAAAGCATGTGTATAGTGTTTCAGTGTACAGCTTCCATAAAGCATAGACCTACATGTACACTACATTGGTAAGGAGGTACTGTGGCTACATATACATTTCTACAAGGCATGTACAATGAGATTATTTTGGCGAGTGTTAAAATATTCTCTCTTCAGTATTGTATGTGTTTTTATGGGTGGTACCAAAGAAGCATATATATACTTGCTAGGTTCACACAACAGCATTTTATCCAAGTCCTACGACTCGAGCCAGCAAAAATGGCTGTGTATACGCATTTGGCTCAAGCCAAGTTTGGCTCCAATAAACCCTCGGGAATAAACTCTGATAGGGTTGAGCCCTGACATGGCCCTGACTCTGTATATGCATCGGATCCCAACTATCTGAGCCCAAATAACACCCTCAATTAAGTAATCTTGTATTTCAATTATGGCAAAGACAACATCATTCGTAATTTCACGCAATTTCTGCCTTGACAAAGAGGTACACGCCCTAATATCTATTTCGCAAATTAAAGAAATACTGCGATAGATTGATAGCTCAACAGAAAACAGAAAAACGGTGTATGAAATTATGCGACAAAAACTTGAAAAAACGACTGAACAGATTCAATGGAAATTGAAGAAACTTTTTAAAGACAACAAAGATAAAAATTGTAGAAGCAGTCACGGTACGGTGACGTGTTCCTAATAGGTTTAGATTGACAACTGTTACACATATCACAACAGTTGAACAATTACAAAATGGTAATTTTGCATGACAATAACTTAAGCGAATAGGCTGTAACACATTTTAGCTGCCGTGTTTCCTGTTTATTCAAGATACTAGTCCCTAAATCAAAACACCAGTGCATTGTCATTTCTACCTTCATACTCAGACTCGTGACTGTTTATTTTTTCCTCCCAGCTCAACAGCATCGTGCCATATAAATAAACAACACAAGCATATGACAACAAAATTGTTTCCAGCCAAGTTTTTTTTCATACTAATTATTTGAGGGCACTGTTTCGTTTGGCTCTGACGGAACTGAAACGAACCCTGGCAGAATCTCCAGTTAATCGGTGGAAAGAGTGGTAGTTCGACTCTGATAGAATACTGCTGTGTGAACATAACAAATGTACATGGGTGTTTTAACTACAGACTGACTTACCAAGTAATGGTGGTAACCAATTCACATTGGCCTCACAGTGAGAGTCAAGAAACACAAGAACTTGACCAGTAGCTCTACTCGCACCCAACAAACGGGTTCTTATTAATCCCTCTCGCTTAGTTGCTCGAATTATTCGTACTTTTGGGACAGTGACCATGTAATCATTGAGTGGTTCTTTGCACTCATCTGTGGAGAAAACAACATTTTACTGGGTATATAATGATTCAAAATAACCAGTGATTTAGTAGAATACTATTTTGACATTTTGTATGTAAAGGGAATTGCTACACACATTCAACATCTAGCATATATTATGAACGATTGAATTTTTACCAATGTCTAGAATTGATACTTTGGAAGCACGCATGGGAAAAAATTTAAAATGAAATATTTATGATTACAAAGTTTCACTGGTAAGAAAAAATAAACCACTTTACAGACTCTCATCTATAGAAAAACAGGAAATATTGTACCCATAATTTGAAGCAAAAAATTAACTACAATAAGATAGCAGTGTTACCATGGTCACTGAAGTCATCCACTAATATGATTTCATGAAGAAGCTCTGGCGGTGATCGATTGATAATGCTATGAACTGTACGTTTAAGTACTGACAATGCCTCGTTATGGAATGGTATCACAATGCTAGTGTTGGGGAGCTTTACAAGGTATTCCATTGTCTTGCACCTTAACAAAAAGAAGAACAATTTTCTGTGAGAGCTGGCTCAAACAAATTTATAAAAATACCTCATTTAGTTTGCTTTAAAGGTGGTCATCATGTCATGCATATGTGAAAAATTACATAAATGAGAGAAAGCAACATCACTCAAATTGACAATTATGTTTAATCATTTACAAAAATTGTATACTGTAGAATACTTTATTTTCGCTAGGAATTTATTTTCGCTAGGAATTTATTTTCGCTATTTTAGCTGAACGAATGATTCCGTGAAAATAAAATCCTGTCAATATACTTTTTTTCCTATATTTCAAATTCAACTCATCAAAAATCAGTGAAAATAAATTCCATACAAAACACCCAAAAAGCCTTTTCAGCGAAAATTAATTACAGCTAAAATAAAGTATTTTACAGTAACAAATCTTTAAAACATAGTGCAACTATTACAACCTTGCCCATTGAGAATTCAATAATTTATTGGTTTCTAAAACTTTTACCAATCACTGAATTGTGCCGTTTTTATTTCTCTAAAATTTTTACCAATCACTGAATTGTTCTGTTTTTATTTCTGTTTTCTAGAACATGAGTTGACCTACCATGGTGCCCTCTGACCATACATGTCAAGAATGCCATTAACCAATCAGAATACTGCATGGTACTACCAATATATTTTGAGTATTGGCGATGAATGTCATAAATATCGCAAATAATTGTGTTTTGACAGAAATTTTGTTATCTGGCAAAAACTGATGCACCATGCATGCCATCTAATGTTTTTGTAATAAATGATTTAACTCTATTCAAAATTTAATCAGTTCAAAATTTCAACATAATTTTGTTTTCTAAAAACTACAGTTTTAAAAAGCTAATTATTTAAAATTGGTCAGGTATGTCGCCTTTATTACTGTACACAGATTTGCTATAATTCAATTCAGAAGGCGTCTTCCATACGACCATTGCTATATATGTAACTATTAAAATTTTTGTTATATTTTTAATAGTTACTTAGGACAACGATTACCTAATATTATCTACTCTATATAATATTTATCAGTCTGATCAGCGTTTATTTATTAACTACTTTTATGGCTGCTGCTAGTCGATCTAGCCTACTTCATTTTGACAAAATAAGGAAAAAAAGACAACAGCTTAGGCTGGATACATGAATGGAGGATTTTAACACTTGTTGCTCTGGAAAAACAGTGACAACAATCGACAGTTTCTATTGAATGGATGTTATGGTCAATGTCGTGAACAATAGATGGGGTAAGTAATGAGGATCGACATTTGCAGTTCTCAATTTTTGTCAACTATCAATTTCTGAATTACCGAGAGGCGACAAACATGGTATAATACTGATTTTGCATGCACCTATCTAGTAATGGATAATCGAGGGTTGACAAAAATATAAAAAGTCAAATACACAATGAACAGACAACCCAGGAGAAGACAGCAGAATATTATACAGTTTTCAAAAAATTGCAGAGTGAGCGTGGGTAGGTACAAAAAGGGTCAGCTAGAACTATATAAGACAGCGGAGAAACATTGATTACCAGAATGATTTTTGCAGAGAAAATGAGACTAGTATGTGTATGTTTTGCTGAGTAATTATGACCCCCAAAAAACAAAATAAATATGAAAATATTCCAATACAGCCAGAGAAAATGTACATGTTTGATATAACATAATTGTTTAGGCAGAATAGTGTGTCTAATATGAGTTATATGATGATGTCACTTTTATTTGCAGTGGTTTTTTACGCTGCAGTATTTCATCTGTGTAATTTGGTGATATCCATGGAACATTGTTCTTCATGCAATCTGCAGAAGTTGATTCTTTTTAAAGCTTCTTAAACAGCAGAGGGATTGAAATCAGAAAAAGATGTTTTCAAAAAGTTTTAGTCAAGGCAAATCAGAAAGCATAAAGGTTAAAACTGAATTGTATCTTTAAACTCAGTCATAGTTTCATAACAGCACACCCACCACATCTTGCCTCATATATATTTCCTATTCGGCTTTCAAATTTGACGTTTGGTGCCTACCTTGGGTCTCGTATATCGGGTAATGCTCTCTCCACAGAAAGGACATCGCTGATGTGTTTATTGAAACCATGTTTAGAAAAATCTTGGTGTTCATTTTTTTTCTCTTCTGGACTCAATATGTAAGGTCTTCCTTGTTCCCCGGGTCCTGAATAACACAAAATGACAATGTTGTCATATGAAGTTCTTAAAACTTGGATATAGAAAAAAAAGACATTAACTTTGAGAGACGAAGCTTGAAGGTTAAAGAGCGGCTCCACAATACCAGGGATTGTACCAGTGTGTCATGGGAAATGTAATTTGCATGGTCCGCCCAGTTGTTTACTTGGTACACAGCTGTTATCATTTCAACCGAAGGTGTTAATTCTGATTTGAAAGGACTTATTGAATCAAGTTCAACGCTCGCGGTGCCCCCGCCATCTTTTTAAAGCAGTTTTCTTACTTGCATCATAGAGCTCCTTATTTAGTTCTGTGCTTGCAAAGAAAATTTATTTGAATGCAATGTATAGTATCGCATACTACAACATGTGCCGTAACGTGTCTTGTCGCTAGGCAATAATGACATTATGCAACATGTGCCGTAACGTGTCTTGTCGCTAGGCAATAATGACATTATGCAACATGTGCCGTAACGTGTCTTGTCGCTAGGCAATAATGACATTATGCAACATGTGCCGTAACGTGTCTTGTCGCTAGGCAATAATGACATTATGCAACATGTGCCATAACGTGTCTTGTCGCTAGGCAATAATGACATTATGCAACATGAAAAAAGGATCCAACAAATTAAAAAAAAAAAAAAAAAATTGATACTGCTGTGTACGGCATACCCAGTTGCCCGATGCCAAATATACATGAATATATGTGCAGCTTATATGTTACAAAACACGGACACGCATACCTTTCTTTACGCAATGTTGTTTGTCAACAATCATTTCATTGCAGGGATATAGTTCAGGGAACATAACATTTGTTGCGAAATATTTTGAGACACATTTGTCAGAGAATTATTTGTTGACAAGCCCCTTGAACGAACCTCGCTATTATCATGACCAGCCAGGCCAGTTACATCTGCCAATAAACTAATCTAGGGCAGTAACCACAGCCTGGTTAAAAACTATCCATTTTATCTTTTCGACCTAGCTTACCTAGAGATTGAACAAATAACTCGGGATTAACACCTCACATTTGCATAAACCCATGACTGACAGTCATTTTGAGCAATCAAAATCACACTGACATCGCTTTGAACTTGTAAATTAATGTCAAAATTGTATTGTGGATGTATTCATGTTTGTGTATGACATGAAAATAAAGCACCACAGGCGTTAAGATTTCTGAAAAGAGTGATTTTGCAGAGCACAACAAAGCGATGTTTCATTTGCATACTGAAAACTGGCAGGCCATCTTTCCTTTTATATATCCGGACAGCAGCCCTTGAGTTGCAATGATTTTCATTTGAGTCCTAGGGATTCACAGTGATTTTCACTGGAGTCCTAGGGAGTCACAGTGATTGTCACTGGGGTCCTAGAGAGTTACAGTGCCTTTACAAAATATCACCCTACTGAATTATCAAAATGTGAATATTTCTAGTGGTTGAAAATACTAAATGTCAAAGTAAAATTTTCACCTTTTACATAATAAACCTGCACAGTAGTAATTTTAATCATGATATGTTGACAATAGCATATTCATTTTGTCCAAAACAACAATTATAACAAAGTATATTAAGAATATTGCACTAATATCAGGTTAATGATAGCGCATTATTTACCAGTTCTAGCAGCATCAGATTTTATCCTTGCATAGTCATGCCAGTCTTTCTTGGGTAGGCTTGCATAGTCAATATGTTGGACAAGATGAGGTGCTACTGGAGCTACCGCAGCTATGGCATGGTCCTAACAGAAAAAAAAAAACCATAAACAATATGCAAATTAATTACTTATTATACATACATACATTTAAATCAAACTATTCATATTTAATGAGCTTGGTCACACATGCAAATACTTTTTTTTTATTTATTGCTCTTTCCACCTATTTACAGAATGGAACGTTTCTATTATCATTGACCAGTGTCTATATGTACATTGTCTGGTGTCATTTCTCAGACATGCTATAACGGGTTACATCAAACTATGTATGATGTGTTACATATGCATGTCGATTTTCATTACCATACCTCTCAAATATGGCTTAGTGACGGCCATTTTGTTCCCCAAATTTGCTAAATTCTGATACTTAATCATATCCGAGCCACTTCTTGGAGATCAACTTGGCGCGATATCATTCTAAACTTTGTACCATCATGCATACCCAATTACCGGGTCACAGATGCCTGTCATATTTATTTTTAGAATTCAAACAAAAATGGCAGATGGGCAGCCATTTTGTTTTTATTCATAACCAATGCCAATTCATCACTAACATATTGCATTGCCTCAGTTGAAAGTTTGCATACAAGTACTATACTCATAGGTTATATTGTAATTTGTGATATTCTGTGATAAATGTGACAAATTAATCAATAAATGATGTAATGCATCAGGTTTTGATTTATCAATTCAGATGTTATTTTTTTGTCTTTACTTCAATAAATCCTGTGATGCACTGCTTTTTGAATTCTGCTTTGAGTACACACTAAATACAGCTAACCTATATAGGAAGTACAAAATGGTAATGTTCCACATTCACTCAGACATTGCGGTAATTCAAAAGTGTGGATCCTAATGGCTATTGAGCAAATAACTCAAGATTGTGATGTGCATCTCAGACTAATCTAAATAGAAAATGCTTCACAGTGAAACTTTGACACAGCATTTTGATTGGTTAATGAAATGCTTGACATTGTTTCAGGTCGAATCATGCTGAAAAACATCACGGCAGAAATTGCTTTACATATAAAGTTTGCATACCATCGAAAACATCCCACAAAAAAGATAATCTTGCCTTTGACTGTTTTCCCACAGGCCGTGCCATTTTACACCATAAATTCAGACAGTATGTAAATCGTATTGTAATAAAATGTGGAATTCAATGACAACTCGTTGCACTTTTTTTTTTCAAATTTTCAAAAAGACATAATAACTCTCAAAGCCACGCATGGTAAACAAAAGATGTAACTCATATATTTTTGTTGGGTGGTAAGATGAATACAATGGTACCCCCTCCCCCCAATAATTCTGAGGCAGTCTTGAGTATAAGCCTACTCCTTACTTTATATTGATTTGATACTGATTTTGTAATATAGTCCAATCTTGGATTATTGAACAGTGAATCATATACCCTAACTGTTGTATTTATTACAGTACACAAGGCTTACAGCTTGTATGCATGATATTAAACTTATGATGAGAACACCTGATAGAAATTATTGAAATGATGTAATACGAGTAATTTTCACCAAAATCAAACTACATATATTTTGTTTCCTACATGAGTTTGAAATATAGATAATCGGACATTTAAAGTACAGTCCAACCTGTCTATAATGGCCACCCAGTGAACCACTATAGAGAGGTGACCCTAAAGGGTGGGTGTGTCTTAACCGAATCAGTGGACAGGGCATTAGAGGAAAGCTATTAGGGAATGAATATGTATCTAACAGGTGTTACTTCTATATTATTGTAAATTCTATACAGCTGTATCATTCATATTATTTATTTAACTTGATATGACTGGTACAGGTCAGATTGATAATAAAAAGTATTACCAGTACAACAGGTAGTAGGAACAACATATTGTTAAAAAAATATATTAAACTATATAAATAGTTCTCTTCTATAATGGAATCTTTTTTTTGTCAATGGCATACAATGCCCATTTATAGAATAGAGTTGAGTTGAATTTATAAATCAGAGAGACGTACATCAACTACCTAAAATGGTTAATTTTCCCACCAAGCTATATTTTTTTTTAACAACTGAAATAATGTTCAATATGTCTGAAATAGAATTTGTCAAAAAAAAAAGGTCAGACATCTTCAATAACATTTTGAAATCAACATCGGCTTGTGATCTAGTAAGTTGTCGAAATACCTGATTTTAGTTTATGTATTTTTACAAAAAAAAATATTCATTATACTGCATTAATAACCAGTATGTAATAGAACTCCCAAGATGCTTCTTACATATCATGTCTAAAGAATATTGCACTGTTATTTAAACAATAATCCATTGTCTTTC